CACCTTTCCACTGACCTCCAGCTGAAATTCAGCTCAGAGCCCAAATCTCTACTCTGGCTGGACATCTTGATTGAAAAACATTTGTCTTCTCCAGAATACCAGCAAAAGAAACATCAGAGGATAGTTCCAACAATACTATTGATTTTCCCAGTTATTTCTCTGATCAACCTCACTCAAATTATCCTAAGGATGATGGTAAGCTTTGGATTGCATTAACCACAAAAGAAAAACATAAAGAAAAGGGGAATCATACAGCACTGATGATGAATACCTCTAAATTTATTTCAGAAACCTTCAAATTGCTCTTTGATTGGGAACTTGCAGCACCAGTAGTAGACTTTACCAATCAGCTAGCTACCAGGGGTAGACCAGATCAACTGCAGGTTTCCCAGACTGATGATCTCAATTTTTTGAGAAATCTGGATGAAGCATGCCTGGCAGATTCTTTTGAAAATTCTTCTAAATTTTCTTTGGATAATTGTGAGATTCATCTGGGGTATTCTGATAAATTTGGTGAGTTTTGGTTTCATATCATTTTGATTTCAGGAGCATGAAAAAAGGGCTATAATAATGAGAGGGGACCCAAAAATTTGAATACAGCATGTTTGGAATTTATACAGAGAATCCTCAAGTGATAATGGGAAAGAGAACAATTTGTGATGGAAATAAAATGTCTGAGAAAAGGGAAGCTTCAAAAGGTACTGAAATCATGAAAGAGAATTCAGAGGAGACATTGGCCCAAACTCTGAATCCAAAGAATAAATCTCAAATTAGACCTTCCAAGAGATATAAATCCATCAGTGGTAATTTTGAAGAGCCTCAAGATGATCCATCTTCCCAAAATAGTGATAAAATAGAAATAGGTCCAAAACAAAACTCAAAGATTTTTGAAAGAAAAATGATTGATGATTTCCAGAATATGCAAGGTGTATCAGAATTTGGTAAATCAAACATCTATGGAAATGCTGATGATACCCAGGTTTTCACCAACCCACTGACCCTAGGCATTTCAAAAAGTAATATCAATCACACAAATCCATCTGTTAGGGTGAATAATGCAGAGAGACTAGATTTCAACAAGGAGGTCTTCAATTATCCGGGAATCTCTGACAAGGATTCAATTTTTATTGATCAGATTTTGAATAAAATTGGACCCCTTCCTGGAGCATGTCTCACTACTTTCCAAGAGCATTCAAATTCACCGGGGAAAAGACTTCAAATTGTACATAAAAAATGGCCCAAGAAAT